TACTGATGATAACCATGTATGTTGCTGTGATTTTAGTTGTTCATAGTATGCTTGTTTTGCAAGGTTATCCTCTGGCATATGTTAATGACAACAGATCGGGCTGTAGCTGCGACTATAGCTCATGTTTTCTTCTTTCCATTTTTCTGGTCTGTCATCGTTTATACAATTTTGAACAAAATTCATGATCTCCATTATGAACATGGATGACAGGTTCTATAAACAAATAACACCATGTATTATTTATTGTAATTTTAAAGTCTGCTCTATTGCGACTTCGAAACAAAATATATCCCGAATAACAATTATGTTACAATTCGTATTGTACACACAATTGTTTTTGTTTTTGAACAGTTGGAATATCGAACGGATAAGAAGTGATATGGTGCAACTGTTTCATTTTAAGCGATAACCATGAGACGAAAAACAAAATACTGAAAATTTTGCTTTCAAATTACCTACGTATAGCTTATTCCATGCATGCATGCAATGCATTCATTGCAGCCCAAATTGTGTTAATATGTTAATTTATGTATTTTGAAAAGATGTGCATGGAGAGATACCGTCCATTGGAAAACAAAAAAGAGCTAATCATTTCCGATGATCAAGGGATCAAGAATCTAAATACGAAGAAACCGTAATTTAGGTTTCACAGATGATGAATGTGATTAACTTTCCTTTCATACAATAATTACGTGTACATGTATCATTAACTATATGCGGCGTGAAAGCTATCGCGCGCGAGAAGGACCTGGCTCGTCACCGTCCGAAATAAAGATATTGTTGACATAAAATCTACTCAGTTATGATACAACTAGTGTTTGCAGAGTATCCAGTGAGGGTTTCGCCGATCGTCGACCATTGATTGTGTAAGCTGTATAGAAATCCACAGCTATCTTAAGTTGTAAAATATTTGTCCATTCGTATCGTTATGTGGTGCATTCATCATGTTGTGCTGCGAGTCGTAAAATAAAATACGGTGTCGTAAAATATTAATTTGCTGTAATACTGTACTTGCGCATGACATATTTTCTCACTTCGCACGGTCTTTCG